GAAATTCTGTAGTTTCTTATGCAATTTACACAATGCCAAGAGGTAAGACGAGAAGCTTTGCCAACAGGCAAAGGAACAGTGGAGATCAAAGTAGATTATAAGCTTAAGTAACACTTGGCTTCTCTTGCCACTTTTCCACTAATAATTTACTGAATATTAACCATAGGCAATGTATGACCAGTTCTCTCCACTCTTTCACAGTCGACCTACTTGTAGGAATTTATATTCCTGCTTCCATATCACTTTCCCTAAGAAGTTTTCCGTTAATTTGGGTATGTATCTTTTATGTGTTTCCAAAGCATCCCATTGCCATGCTCAATGCATATGACTAATATTAAAGTTAATTATTTAATTTATGTGGGATTACATTACACATTCCATAAACGTGGAACTGTGCATGTCTTATTGTCCTTGCATGCTCAGTACTGAATACTTTGGTACAACTGGACTTAAATAGGGAGGGTAATTTGAACTGTTCTGAAAGTGTTAGAAACAGAGAAAGATAGACAATGCATCTATTTGGAGAACTGGAAGACTCAAACTCAATTTATGATAAGTGGTAATAAAGGCTATGATTGGGAATGTAAGGGAGATAAAGTCGAAATAATAATAAGGAATAGTGACCAAGGTACATTATTAAAGAAAATAAATGGGTCAGGCGCCGTGGCTCATGCCTGTAACCACAGCACTTTGGGAGGCTAAGGCGGGTGGATCATCTGAGGTCAGGAGTTCTAAATCAGCCTGGCCAACATGAAAAAACTCCGTCTCTACTAAAAATACAAAATTAACTGGGCATGGTGGCACATACCTGTAATCCCAAGTACTTGGGAAGTTGAGGCAGGAGAATCCCTTGAACCTGGGAGGCAGAGGTTGCAGTGAAGGGAGATCACGCCTCTAGCCTGGGCAACAAGAGCAAAACTTTATCTAAAAAAAAAAAAAGAAAAGAAAAGAAAAGAAAAGAAAAGAAACATAGAAGATAAATATTTACTGAATATCGATTGCTAGATATGATTTCCTTATCATATACTAACATTTCAACCTAATAATAGTTTTGAAATTCATATTATCATTAGAAATGTTCAGTTACCAAATATGTATCTTTGGGCAAATGAACTTTGTTAATGAGTAGAGGATTCTTCATTTTTTGTACATTTTTTAAAATTATTTTTTATTGCATTTTAGGTTTTGGGGTACATGTGAAGAACATGTAAGATTGTTGCATAGGTACACACATGGCAGTGTGGTTTGCTGCCTTCCTCCCTATCACATATATCTGGCAATTCTCTCCATATTATCCCTCCCCAACTCCCCACCCCCTCGCTGTCCCTCCTCTATTCCCCCTGCACAGGCCCCAGCATGTGATGCTCCCCTCCCTGTGTCCATGTGTTCTCATTGTTCAACACCCGCCTTTGAGTGAGAACATTCAGTGTTTGATTTTCTGTTCTTGTGTCAGCTTGCTGAGAATGATGGTTTCCAGGTTATTTTACTTTTATTTATTTATTTTTGCATTGACTGGGTTGTTTTATAGAAACTAGGCTGTGTTGCCCAGGCTGGTCTTGAATTCCTGGCCTCAAGCTATTTTTCCTCCTTGGCTTCCCAGTGTGTTCAGGTTACAGACATGAGCCACTGTTCCTGGCCTAGGATTCTTTATCCTAGTAGATTCTTCATGGAATCATTGCTATTGTGTCATCGTCATTGTTAAAATTTTATTAAAAAATGATTTAACGTGTAAATATGCAGTATGCTGTTTGCCCTGTAAAAATTACCCAATATAGCTTAATTATTACTAAAATTATTACATTATCACCATGTATACTATCAAAATCTAAACGTTCACTCCTTTTTAATTTCAATACCGCCTTAAAACAAAAGATAAAAGCCATTCTCAATCCTCCACTTAGTACCATGTAAAAAAAGAGACATACTCCCACCAACAGTGTAAAAGCATTCCTGGTGGGGGAGAAGGGGAGGAATAACATTAGGAGAAATGTCTAATATACACGACAAATTGATGGGTTCAGCAAACCACCATGGCACATGTATAACTGTGTAAACAAAACTGCACGTTCAGCACATGTACCCCAGAACTTAAAGTGTAGAAGCTTTTTAAGTAAAAAAAGAGATAATGAGTTTAAATTTTTATACAAAAACCTAGTCAGTCTTGAGCAAGTCATTTATCTTATAAGTGTTTGCCAACTTTAGACTTTAAGTGGAAATAATTGCACTTGCTTGTTTTCATTATATAGAGATATTCTAAGTTAAAATACACCTTGTCCTTTTGTGTCCTCAGGTGCAAGTGTAGTCAAGAAGTAGGATACCATTTGCTACTAGGCAATCTTTTATTCTCAAGGTCTCCTAACATAGGTATTTGATGGTGAAGAGTCAATTATACTCTTTTCCACCTGGAATCCAAGGGGCCTTATAATATTCAGAAAACAGCTCCCAATGAAAGAGATTGGTTAGATCATTACCTTCCTTCCTGAGAGCATATAAAACTGATTCATAATAGACCTTCTCGCTTCGTTTTGCAGTCAAAATGAAACATGCTTCAAAAGAAAAGCATATATGTTTATTAAAAATATAATTTTGTATATATGTGTTTGTGTATCTGTATTAATTTATTTTGTCTCTGTTTCCTTAATAATGTTGTTTTCCCGTCATCATGCTCTTATCATGATGATATTGTTTTATCTGAAATTTTAAGTTGGAGATTGAAATATCAACAATATCAAACTGTCGGTTATAAAACAATTAGCCAAAAGTTTCCTATTTTGTAAATAAAAACTAGGTCAAGGTTGAGCAAAGCATGGTAGCATGTATCTACAGTCTCAGCTACTTGGTAGGCGGAGGTGAGAAGATGACATAAGCCCAGGAGTTTGAGGTTGCAGTGAGCTATGATTGTGCCACTGTATTGTAGCCTGCATGACAGAGTGAGACCCTCCATGTCTCCAAATAAAAGTAGGTAGGGGTTAGACAGATGCAGAAATTGCCATTTATGGAGCATCTACTATGGGTCTGGGACCAGCTTTGCACAAGGACTTTTCCTGTGTGATTTTTGGATAATTTATGTAAATTGTATAGGTTTTCTTTGCCATAATGTCATTATTATTAAAATGGGAATAATTTTACGTTCTATTGTATTGAAGAGTTGTGGCAATGAAATGAGTAAAGCATTTGGACAATCCCTGACACAAAGCAATGATCGATAAAGTATTAACAATAATTAAGTTTTTTTGGCTTTTTCCCTGAAGCAGATGATAAGAAAAAAATATTAATCAATATCTTTTTATGGAGTCAAAGAAAGTATTTAGGATATTCAAGAAGTATTGGAAAGACCCGCTCCCAATATATCAATGTGGATTCAAGGTCTCTCAAAGTAATCAAGTGGTTGGTGAAAAAGGAATAACAGACAAAGAAACAGTTTTTCTTAAAGCTGGGCCCAGGGGAGAAACCACATAATGCTGCTCCGTGGATGTCTAAAGTTCCCCTGAAAACCACAGTTTTTTATTAGACTCTTTCAGTAGGGGAGGGGGAGTGAGGCTACACAACAGTGTGGAAATGATCATACAAAAGAATACATTTGCAAATAGTGGTGCACAAAAATCACAACTTGATATTATAAAAGCAGGACAATGTAAAGATAACTTTTCTGTGTGTCAGCATAGAAATCATACACCTTAGCAAGAACAGAGGTTAAACATAAACTTATGATTATCAGCAAGAACACATTGGGCTCACAGCTGCAAGGGGAACAGGATCTGACACAGGACAACCAGCCTGACCACAAAGCTGCAGGAGAAGGGGGCCTCCATGCAGGCCTGGAGGAGCAGTGGGAGAAGAAAGACTTTTATATTCTTTTCTCAACTACAGAGGTTTTTCCTCATGACAGATGCCCCTAATGCATCTGTTTATAGGCTCTCCATAGGGGTGGCATTCCCTTTCCAGGGCCATAATCAGTATGCCTTTCCTGGGAAAGGAATCTAGGTAATAAGCCTCTCCATTACATGTCTGTTTATAGGCTCTCTGCAATGAGAAACTTATTACATACTGTCATCTCTCTCTGGCAGTCAAGCTAAGCAGTTTGTTCCTTACACAGGGTTTCTATTTTTACAAAAACAGCTCAGCAGAGCCAAAGTTACAAGTTACAACTTCAGCAGAGCCAAAGTTACAAGTTACAGCTCAGCTTTTCACATTATTCTTCATTTTCTCAAATATAATCGATACAGTAAGTAACAAGCATCAGAAAGCAAATAACTCATTTCAGGGAAAGCAAATTCTAAGAGAATTTACAGGTTAAAAATCAACAACAATTTCTTCTTATTTCAGATAGGTAGGGTTTTGCCAATTCTTCCAGAAGCTTGGGGTTGCTCAGTCACCACCAAGGGGTCCACAAGGTTTCCAGCAAGGAAGAATGAAGATACAACTATATCTTCATATTTTGTTAAATGAGAGTTTTCAACTTCAACTTCAAATTCATTATTGTACAGATTGATAAACTTGAAAATTTAAAAACATTGCCACTTGTCAGCATCGTAATTCAAAACCTAAAGACAAAAAGTAACCACATAATAGAAAATATATTGGTTATATGAAAAATTATAAGAATCTCAAACCAGTTATACATATATAGTAGAGGTGGGCTATCACTATGTAGCTCAGGCTAGTTTTAAACTCCTGGGTTTAAGTGAATCTCCCACCTAGACTTCCCAAAGTGCTGGGATTACAAGTGTAAGCCACTGCTTCTGGCCTGTTTTTAATATTTTAAGACAGGTAACATTACCATTACTAGGTGACTTTTCTTTTTTAATGTTTCATAAAATTCACTGAAGTCATCTAGGCTTTGGGAATTCTTTTCCAAGAGAATTTTATTATATGTGTAATGGTTATAGGACTATTCAGGTTATCTATTTCATCTTATAAGAATTAGGTAGTATACGGTTTTTGAGGAATTGGTCCATTCTTTCTAAATTGTCAAACTTACTACCATGAATTTTTTTTAAAGGCATTTATTCAACGTCACAATCAGACTATTACATTTAGCAATAAACAGCATGGGTGCAAAAAAAAAAAGAAAAAAATCTATATTACAACCCTATGTTGGAATGCTTTACACTTTCCACAGAATAGAAACTAAAATAACCTGTCATACAATTAGTCACAAATGCAGTCCTCGAGTTTTTTGCCCACACATATTAGTATTTGTCTAAATCATGTCTTCTTTGTAGCAGCTAGGCCCTGCCACCACTGTGCTTGGCTGAGTTCACAAATCTGTTGTAACCTGTAGCTTCCCTGTCACTTCTCTGGCTCTCCTCTCCTGCTAAGCTTTGTTTCCTAATTAAAATCTTCTGCCACTGCCATAGCTACTGCTGCTACTGGAACCACCATAGCCACCTTGTTTTCGTGGTTTGGCAAAGTATTGGCTGCCACCACCATGGGGGCTAACCAGGGCCACCTCCTCTATAACCACCATCATTACCAAATCCATTATAGCCATCCCCACTGCCACCATATCCACCACCACCACAGCTGCCACCAAAGCCACCACCACCACTAAAGTTTTCTCTACGACCAAAGTTGTCATTCCCACATAAACCACCTCCACGACCACCACCAAATTTTCCAGAACCACTTCAACCTCTTTGGCTGGATGAAGCACTCGCCATCTCTTGCTTTGAAAGGGCTTTCCTAACTCACAGTTTTGGTCATTCACAGTATGGTATTTCTGAATGACAATCTTATCCTGGGAGTCACGGTCATCAAAGGTTACAAAGGCAAAGCCCCTTTTCTTGCCACTGCCTCTGTCAGTCATGATTTCTATCACTTCAATTTTTCCATACTGTTCAAAATAATCTCTTAGGTGATGTTTTTCAGTGTCTTCTTTAATGCCACCAACAAATATTTTTTTCACAGTTAAGTAGGCACCTGGTCTTAGACTTTTCTTATTATCCTTTCACTGGTTGTAGAATCTGTGGTTCTATTTCTTATTTATTGCAGACTTTAGTGATTTGTGTTCTTTGTCTTTCCATCTTAGTCAGTCTTTGTAGAAGTTTATTAATGTTATTAATCTTTTTTTTTGAGAACTAGCTTTTGCTTTCATTGATTTTCTCCATTGTTTTCCTTTATCGAGTTTATTTCTGTTTTTATTTTTAACTTTATTCTGCTTACTTTAAGCTTATTTCATTTTGGTGAACTGAGAAGAAAATTTTTAAATATTGGGCCAAAATCCTGAAAGAATTCCAGCGAGTTAAATCTTACTATTCCAATGAAGATATTTTTTGATTTCTCAGAAGTTTCCTGAGAAGTGGAGCAGAACTTTTCAGAATCACTGGCTTATGAAGATAAAAGTTAAACTCTAGACGCCAGCAAAGGGAGAAGGAGGAGGTCTTTTATGACGCTGTACTTTTTATTGAAGCCTGAAGACATCAGACCTAAAAATAAGTGAAAATTCCTTTTTTCTTTTCTTTTTCTTTCCCTTTGTTCCCTTGAAAATGGTAGCATGACAAGGGGCTAAGGAGTTTCGGGGCCTAGCAGACAGAAGCATGCCTGGAGAATGTGAAAGTGGCAGTGAGACCAGAGGTCTGATAGGGAGCAGGGTGCAGAAGGTGATCAGTTATATACAAAAGGGGAATTACCTGACTGAGGCAGGTTTCTCCACTCTAAAGTTACTCTTCCTCTCATACAGCACCCTTCCTCCTTTATAAGAAAGTCCCTATATAAATCTCACACTTAAGGAATTGCACGGGAAACTGTACACAAATAGGTGAAATTCTTCTGTATGGGATATTTATTTACTGCATTTAATTATTTAACTAATCATTTATTTATATCAACATATACTCTTGTATATTTATTTTATGCTGTGGGAACGTCCCATACTATAAAGTTTTTATTAAAGTGTTTATTATATTAAAGTATAATAAAGTAGAAAAAAATAGTAGAAGAAAATAATATAGTTACGTCCCCAATTTGTAAATCTTTCTTTCTTCCAGTCTTCAAAGTTTATGTAACATATATATATAATTATATATAATATATAATTATATATTAATATTAATTATATTAATTATATAATTATATAATTATATAATATATTATTATATTATATAATTATATATATATTATATGATTATAGATATATAAAATACTTATGTCATACTAAATGGAAAAATCAATCACAAAAATAATTTAAAATGCTTGTTTATTTTTAATACAGCTCTAACAAGATGAATCATCTGTGTTACAACATTATTCTTATAGGTTATAGTTGTGCATAATATTTATAAAAAGTAGAAAAGAAGAGGAAGCAAAAGAAAAAGAAATAAAACAAAATTTAAGAGATGATAGTAGGAAAAAAATTTTCTTATTTTTTGTATATACGTACAGCTCAATAATCATGTAACCTGGGCCAGGCATGATGGATCATGCCTGTAATCCCAATATTTTGGGTGGCTTATGTGGGAGGATCACTTGAGCTCAAGGGTTTGAGACCAGCCTGGGCAATATAACAAGCCCCTATCTATACAAAAATAACAATAAATAAAAATTAGTTGAGCATGGGACTGTGGGCCTGATGCTGCAGCTACTTGGGAGGCTTGAGCCCGGGAATTCAAGACCAGCCTGAACAAAATAGTAAGACCTCATTTCTAGAAAAAAACTTAAAAAAAATAGATAAGCATGCATATACATGCCTGTAGTTCTACCTACTTGGGAGGCTGAGGTGGGAGGATCATTTGAGTCAAGGAGATCCAGGCTGCAATGATCCGTGATTGTGCCACTGTACTCTAGCCTGGGCAACAGCATGAGACTCTGTCTCAAAAAAAAAAAAAAAAAAAAATCCTTAAACAAAAATTTAAGAAGAAAATGTCAACCTAACTCTTGATTATGTATTTTATAGCAATCCAAAATAAGAAAAAGTGAAGAATAATAAAATGAAATACTTAATCAGATATATTAAGAAAGGCCTTCTTAGATCTCAGTTCGAAATTTCAGTGTAGATTCCTTCATTTGCTGATCATAATTTTTATCAAATTTTTCATTCAAGGCTACCGTAAAGTGATTTTTCCAGTCCCCTATAATTCCTGTAACAAAAAAGAAAGTACAATAAATATTAGGTCTTCACAAAGGAATCATTAGTTTTGCTAATCTCATCAGTTTCATTAACACCTAATCAAATATTATACTTGTAATTCTCAATTTTAGGAATCAAATGTACACCATTATTAATATACTTATTTGATCTTACAAAGATGGATTTGTCTTAATTGGTTTAAAAATAGCAAATTTAATTCTCTGATTCTTTCTTCTTATGCCACTTACTTTATCATTCTTCTCAAGTGTCACCTCAATTGTTGGGGCTCCCAGGATAAGGTCCATATTTTACCCACTCTTAAGGTGTTAAATATCATCTTAATGCTGATAGCACTCAAATCCAGACTTATGCTTTATATACAACTGCCTACATGACTTAGCCACCTGGAAGTTGTCCAAGTTTTCCAAATTAAATTAGTTCAAAAATAAATTCATCTTATGCCTTATCATATTGTAGTTTCTCCAATTACTTTTTAATGACCTGTGTAGCGGCAACAACAGGTATCCAAACATAATCTTGGATGTTATTCCCTTAACCATAACATCTAATTTATTATTTATATTCAGGCTATCTTTGTATCTACTGCCTCTTAACCACTTTTCCTGCTACTGCCAGCTTTAGAATGTTCCCCATCTGGGTAATTACGGTAGCCCAGAAAGGTTCACCTGTTTTGCTTTCCATCACACTTCCAACACTCACCTTGCAGAAGGGAGCCACCTTCTTTTTTAGACTAGTCAAGAGTTCACTTGCCCTGTAGCTCAAGGAGCTCTAAACTTTCTCACTGAAATAACCCAAAACCAGAAGAAAATGTGTATCCTAAAACATCAGATAGGGTCTGAGAGCATAGCAGCAAGCCACTGTTTGCAAGTATGACAACTGTTTTAAGTCCTCTGTAATATTTATATGTAGAATTTTGAAAAAGGAAATAATCAAAAGAATACATAATTAAAATATAATTTGAGAATTGATTCCCTTTCCAGTGCCAGGTTTGCTATTTCTGTTATTTTAGAATTTTCCTGACTCTCTCACTGACGATATGGTTCAAAGAGTAAGATTTGTTTCTATTCTGTTGGTTTTTGCTTCCTCACAGTAAACATCTAAGTGTCTTACATGCCTTTAAATTTGTTAACTGGCTGTGTCTCACCGGGCTGTGCCTCCTTCCAAACAGATTTTTTTTCTCCTTATATGTTGATATTTTTGCTAAACAGAGCTATATTTAAATTTCTATTTTTTGCCACTTACTCTTGAAAGGTGTTTGCCACTTGCTAAAAAAAAATGTTGACAAACTATTCTAATCTTATTTCTTCAAATCAAAAAGAGAAAGAAATAAAATCTTTCTGTGGAATTTCTGGTTAGAACTTAAAGGAACTATACAATATATGTTTTAGCACTGAGGCACACAGTCTTGGTAAATGACAGCTAATAGGGTATGGTATTATTTCCGGCACTGAGATTGAGGTGTCTGCTGGTTATTTTTAATACAATATGATGCACATACTAAATAATCAATAGGTAATTGCAGTATAGTAGAAGTGTAACTTAAAGAGGGTATTCAAATGTAAGAGACTGCTGAAGGAAACTTAAGCTGGGTCCAAAGGCATTAAAATACCTCACTAGATTTTTGCCTATAACTGTATCACCTTGTGCCTTCCTCTAGCATCCAGGCAAACTGCATGACTTTCTCACCCTTTCTCATGAAGGGCGACACTTTCTGGTTCATTATTTCATCTGGAAGAGTTGTGTAATTTGTGGATGGATTGTTCTTCATCTCCTGGAATGAAGTATGATGTATAATCTTGTCCACAAGCTCCTCTGATGGCTTCCTCTCCAGGAAATGTATCAATTTTATCACCTCTTTTCTGATATCCTAGGGAGAGAAAATGTTCTGAGAAGTAAATTGCTAAAATTGCTAAAGCAGAATAAATTGATATCAAAATGAAAGAGAGAAAATAACCCTTTCTCTGTTCTCCTACTGATATTAGAATTAGATTTATAATGAAGAAAAAAAACACAGTCTTTGGGGAATTTTATAAAAGCCATTTTAAAACTGAAAAAAATAAAAAAAAACTCTGCTAATTTCAAATTATCTGCTCTACCTTATAGTTTTCAAAGTTAGGTATGTATCCCTAGACAACATATAATTTGGTTTTACCTAACTGATGTATGTTTTTGAAGTGTATTCCCTTTCATTACAATATAATATATAATTGTAATACAATAAAATAGATTATATGTTGATTCTTAGGTATATGTATATCTGGGTTGTTTTCGATTTTTGTGGTTATGAAGAATGCTACTATGAAAATTGTTGTATATAAAACCTAATGTACATAAGCCAGAGTTTTTCTAGAGTGTATATTTAAGAGTAAAATTTCAGGGTCTTAAACTTCAGGTATGTTTGCTTTTGCTAGATAATGACAAGTTGTTTCTGTTTATGGTGCTATCAACAGTGGGTTACTTTTCACTGATTCACATCCTAATATTTCTTACTGTCAGATTTTTGAACTGTTATCAATGTAGTGGGTGTAAAATGGGTGTCGCATAGTGATTTTTATTTTGAATTACACTAACAAAGAAAAATTCTATTATGAGAAAATTTTAAGTCCATAAAAAATGTGTGTATTGATATCTCAGCATTCTCTTTATATTCGTCTTCTGGAAGTTTAAGTTGATGTATGTGAGACCTTATCACTGTATCTTATATACCAATCACTTTCTTAATTTTTAAATGCTAATACTTAGTAAGAACCATTACTTGTCATCATATAGTCTATTTATCTCACTGTTCTACCTTCTACGGAATTTCCTTAGCTCCATCTTTTACTTCAATAATTCTCTAGGTAGCCATGTCTAATCTATTATTAAACTCATATCTTAATTTTCCATATTTATTTTTTAAATATTTTGAGAAATTCTATTTGGCTATTTTTTCAAATCCACTCTGTCTATTTTAACAGCTTTTGTTTCTTTGTAATTTTTAAAATGTCATCCTTTATTTATTTAAACATATTAAACATGGCTATTTTATAGTACCTATCTAACAATTGCAACATCTTTACATTTGAATACCTGTTAATTACTTGCCCATGTTGATTCCTCATGTGTGAATGTGTGGTGTCTGTGTGTGGGTGTTGTTATTGCTTAACGAACTCAAGTTCTTTCAAGTTTTGCCTTTGAAATTTTTGAGGCTTGTGGTTTAAAATGTATTCACTTTTGGAATATTTTTATTTGCTAGCTTCAAATCTATGTTAAAGTATCTGGATTATTTTGGTCCTTTTCTTTTAAAAATTTAGATGGCTATCAACATTTATTTAAAGGAAGATTTTTGTACCCC